ACACAGGAGGTAATTTTCTGCAATGACGACATGTAATATTGCCAGCTCTATTATCAAATCGTCCCTATCATTTCTAAACAGTAGTAATTTAAATACGTCTCCCTTACCCCACTTCATTTTTTTAGCCTTTGACCATATGTGAGTACGATTCATAGACACAGCTTTGTACAATTTTTATTGTACCGTCCACGTTGTTGTAGTTGATTCATTTCTTAAAATATTGCGGGTATTTCAAGAAATGCCACAATAATTACAAAAAAAGAATATCTAGATATTTAAGAAAGGCTACCTCTAATTTTGATAAATAACACAAAACTGGAAATAGTAGAAGAATATATATTTATATATTTGCGACAACTCGGAACACACAGCTCGGGATCTCTACTACCAGATATCAACAGAAGAATTAAGTTAGCATGTACTTTTGGAAAAAACTCAATCATATTCAAATCTAGAATGCCGCTCTACATAAAGAAGAAAACATTCGACCAATGTGTACTAGTCATGACGGCACTTGGGGCACTTGGGGCGCTTATGAGCCCAAAGGTATCGTCGAGACTCGTCGGGGAATGCCTATGTGAACTGGGAGCTCTGGCTCGAAGGAACAGAATTAAATTATTCTGGGTGCCGGGCCACAGCGGCATCCAAGACAACGAAAAAGCCGATGAGCTAGCTAGGCAAGGATCATCGGCATCCTATCTTGGTCTAGGGCCAGTACTGGGAATACCCAAATGTATGTACAGGGATAAGAGAATGAGTGAGGATATAGAAAGGGGACAAACACAATAGGCCTCACAGGTCGCAGTGTAGATAGGAACTGGATACGAAATTCTTGCTTACGCAGATGATCTGACAGTCCTGATCACTGCCTCAACGCCCAATATGATGAAAATAAGAGTGAAGACTGCGGCGCTGATAATCGCCAACAGGCTGGATAGCATGGGTATCAGCTTAGCAAAACAGAAGACGGAGTTGCTTGCTTTGGTGGGACAGCGGAAATTAGATGGCTGGAGCGCTGATATCATGGGAGTGACTATTATGCCCTGCAAAGCTGTAAGGTACATGGGAGTGTGGTTGGACAGCGGTCTGCGTATGACCACCCACGTCCGCAGAATAGTGGAAAAGACCACACCTGCAACTAACATCCTGTCGCGGGTAATGCCCAATGTTGGAGGACCTAGGGCTATGAAGAGGAGGACAGTGGCATCGGCCGTGACTTCTATGATATTGTATGCCGCTCCAATTTGGAGAAGAGCTATACAATATCAACACTATCAAAATATGCTGCAATCTATGATTAGGAGATTGGTCTTACGTATTACGAGCGCCTACCGCACTGCGCTAACATCGGCAGTACTAGCATTGGCTGGTGTCATGCCTATTGTACACCAGGTAGAGGAAAGATTGCAAGTAAGAGAAAACATCTTGATGAAATGGCAGGAGGATTGGCAGAGATATGATGGCTGGGCAAAGCAATTTATTGAAAATGTGGCGGAGTGGACCACTTTTTTGCTCAAGCTATCACAGGTCATGGGTGTTTTGACAAATACCTGAAAAGGATGCTCCTCTATTCGAGTGTGGAAGATGGAGGGATTTAGGGACGTGGCAAAGGCAAGATGCGGCACCAAGGTCACGCTAGATAACGTCGGGGCACTTATGGGTGAAGACCAAGAGAAGAGCATAGCGGTTGCGGAAATGCTGAGGGTTATTATGAAAACCAAATTTCAGGAAGAGTTGGCACAACGATTAATACATAGGATGCACACATAAGACAACTCTCTGTCTTGAAGTAATGCCCCGGGCGGTTCCGAGACGGAGACTGAGGTTTGACAAAGATGGGTTTTTAGTGGGTAGACCCTCTGGGTAGAGTAGAGAGGGAGATCTCCACACTCCGGCCCTAAAGGCGTTTTCCATCTATATATAAAAAAAGCCCACAATAGACAACAATGGACGTATATGGTTATCTACAAAGAGAGTATCTAAATATGTGAGGGAGGCTACACCAGTTTGAATAAGCTAAAAATGATGATCATAATGATTTAATATAAACTGAACAAAAACCTGATATAATTTTTTGAACAGTGTGTCGAAGAAAAATTTCTATGCATTTTATGGTCTAGGGTTTTATTCTCGGCTTTCCACCATTAATGACAGCTTCTATTGTCTCATAGACTGTTGTATTCTCCTCCCATTTTAGAACGCTTTGTACATACTTAAGGGTTTCCTCCATTTTTTTTCTTTCTTCTAGGCATATGAATCGAAAACCGAGGTATTTAATTTGGAATAATTCAAATTATGTGAAACAGGCAAGCAAATTACTTAGCTTGTTGTATCCTTAGGATGGCTAATACATTTTTTTAATACTAAATGCATGAAAAATTACTGTGAGTGTATACAAGGTTGTTTAGGCAAGTCATGATAAAAATAAAGGGCATAACAATTTGATCATTTTCTATAGCTTTAACGTATTTAGAAAATGGTTAAAACGTAATTTTAAATTTAAAAAATATATAGTTTTCATCCACAGAATCAACTCCCTATGAAATAATTTATTATAATCTCGGACAACTGACAGCTGTGACATCTCCCACAGGATCAGTTCAGTTAGAGTTGAGTAAAAAAATGGCGTCAAAGACGGCTGGGAATGACAATGGATTATAATTTTAGCGAGATCAAGCCCTAGTTCTATACTTTTCTTTATTTTTTAATGGCCAGTTGGCCTTAAGAAAGTTGAGTAAAATTATTTTTAAATGGTGTATTATGCCTACAAACAAAACACATTAAGTCCAGTTATTTAATTTTTGACTTATTTATACAGGGTGAGTCTTAAATAAGTGCAAATATTTTTAGTGGTTATTTTTTCGCAATTTTTTTGGTAAATTTGGAATTTTCTGAAAAAAATGTTGAAAATTTTTTTAGTTTTATAGTTTTTTGATGATATGGCAATATAAGTAGTAGATTAAATTAACAAGAAAGAAACCCCAGAAAAGATCTAGTGGTTCTCAAAATTTAAGAAATATTTTTTTGAAATTTTCAAAGTAAAATAACCCGGTTATTTTAGACTTATTTGAAAAACGGTAAAAAGAAAATATGTTTCTTTTATCGAGATCTACCAATCCTGAAAATATTTGCACTTATTTAAGACTCACCCTGTATTGACTAAATTCCTTCCAGAATATAAAGCTATATTTTGGAATAATCTAAGCCCACGGCCACACAGAAAGCGTTTTTAGCGTTTTGCGTTTTTTGCGTCTCAAGCGCTTTTTGCGATTTTACCGTTTTAAGCGTTTTTTTTTCGATTTGTGTCCATTAAATACACGCAAAAGACACGGCAGGTCTGCAGTTTCTATGAAGATGTCAATTATTAACGTCGTAAGCACGTGGAATCCCGGCCCGTCCAACAATCAATCCTGTGAGAGCGAGATCGGCGCCGTTAGCGTTGAAGAGACGAAGATAAAAGATGCTGGGATTGAATTGTGAACGGGCCGGGGCATATATTCGGAGACAAACACAATCTACTGCTAGTGCCAGTGGTGTGTGTAAAAATAATTATTATTATTTACCATTTATTTTAGGAATTTTAGTTTATAAGTGTATAGTTTTCTATGTTGTAGTGTTGTGGTTAGTACTTGTTATAATTATAATATAATATAATAAATAATTATAATTATATATAATAGAATAGTAAATATTTCTAGTTGCTAATACAATTTTAGGACATGATTTATGAAACATTTTGGAGTAACTTCTTTACGCGCGCTGGGGGAAAAAATTCAAAGCCGTGACATACGAGCTAGTGAGACGGCTTTGACACACGAGCTCGTTGTAACGAAACGTGTTAACGCCTTAAAAATACGTAGTGACGCGACGTGTATTTGTGAGCAGTCCACGTGTTTATCAAAAATATTGATATTTTAATACAAATTTTGTAAAAGTGAATCAAATTATTATGTGTAAAAAACATTTGTTACACGTAAAAAACTATTTTTATTATTTTACGCGAATAAAACTGTTACACGTAAAAGACTATTTTTTACGCGTATAAAACTATTTGTTACTGGTAGAAAACTATTTGTTACTGGTAGAAAACTATTTTTTACGCATATACAACTATTTGTTACGTGTAAAAATCTATTTGTTACACGCAAAAAACTATTTTTTACGCGTCAAAAACTATTAGTTTCTGTTAAAGAATCCTTTTTTACCCAGAAAAAAACACATTTTATGCATAAAAAACTATTTTTTACGCGTAAGAAAATATTCCTTTAATTTATTACTTTTTCAACATTAAAACTACATTTTTTCAAACATTTCCTTCAAATTTTTGAATTTAATTGAATCTTCCTAAACAGTAGACGTTCTTTATAAAAATATTTTTAGATAATACCCTAAAACGGAAAAAATGCATACTATTTAATTTATTTTTATTGTATTATTAAATATAACGTCTGCCTATGACGGGAGACTGCGGCGCTGATAATCGGCAAACAGGCTGGATAGCATGGGTATCAGCTTAGCAAAACAGGAGACGGAGTTGCTTGCTTTGGTGGGACAGATCTTAGAAAACGCTAAAGACGCTACAGAAAACAAACTGATTTGTTTTCATTTGCGTTTTTAGTGAGATACACTCTCGAACGCTACACGCTTTTGGTGTGGCCACTCCTATATAATCCCGTTATTTTGTTTTAGTCGCTAAGACGCTTCACGCTAAAAACGCAAAAAACGCTTTCTGTGTGGCCGTGGGCTTCTAAGAACTGGAATGAGTTATTTTTATTTTTAAATTAGTATTTTTTTACTTTTGACTGTTTGATTTTGATGAAATCCAACCCTGGTTACAGTAGTAGTTCAAAGCTGGATTTCAATTACCTAGTGTGTGGTCTAAGTTAGTTCTTAGCTAAACAATTATACGGTTAAATTCGTTTACTGTCGTCAGTTTTTATGCTTAGTAAAGGTTTAATGAGAACCACCGTAAAATTTTAACGATTTTCTAAGATTAATGTACCTACTACTATACCTATATAGAAATCTTAAATAAATATAGATAAAAACTAATAATGGATTAGATACATCTTCTGATATTTCTCATATTTTCAATTTGTTACATTAGCTTTTCATTGACTATACTGGGCGTTAAATTGGCTCGTCCATATTACTTTTTATTTTTTAATTAAAAATTTTTTAATAAATTTGGTAGGTAGTTTCAGAGATATATATAGTATATAGGATCCTATATCTCCTACATGAACAAAGGGCTTCAGTGAAAGCTCTCCATCGGGTTCTGTTTTGGCAGTTGTTTTTGCTTCCTTCCATGTTGACCCTACTTGTTGAAGCTCATCCAGTATGGAACGTCTCCATGTTTGAGCAGGTCGTCCTTGCTTTCTTTTTTCTTGGGGATTCCACTCCAACGCTGATCTCGCTATATTACTATCAGGTTTCCGCAAAGTGTGACCTATCCAACCCCATTTTCTTTTGAGGATTTCAATGCCTACTTCTTGTTGGTTTGTAAGATGAAGCAGGTCGGTGTTACGTATGGTGTCTGGCCAAAAGATTTTAAGTATTTTCCGCAAGCAGCGATTGATAAACACCTGTGGACGGTTGATGGATATTTTTGTCACTCTCCATATCTCGCAGCCATATAATAAAACTGGTATGACGTTGGAATTGAATATTCTTAATTTTGTTTGTATGGAGAGTTGACGGGAGGTCCAAACTGATTTTAGTTGACCAAAGGCTCGCTGCGCCTTCCTGATCCTGCTGACAATATCCGCGTCTGCGCCACCGTTTGCTGTTACAATACTTCCCAGGTAAGTAAACTCTGTTACATTCTCGACATGTTTGATTCCTACATTGAATGGAGTGTTGTTGTTTGTGTTAATGCGCATTGACTTTGTTTTGTCGATGTTTATGCTTAATCCTACTTTGTCTGCTTCTGTTTTTAGACGTCTGAGCATCACTTCCATGTCTTTGAAGGATTGCGTTGTGAGACAGGCATCATCAGCATAATCAATGATCTGCCAGATGCGATGTCAGAGTCCATTGTGCTCCCCTAATGTTTGCTGTTGCTTTAGTCAAAACGCTGTCGAGTACGATATTAACTAGAAGCGGCGATAATGTGCAACCCTGCTTTACTCCTGTCCCTAAGTTAAAACACTCGCTGGTTCTACCGTTGTGCAGCACATTGCATTCTGTGTTTCTGTAGAGTTCCTTGATTATATTAATTAGTTTTTCCGGAACACCTTTTTCTTTTCGAGTTTTCCATACCATCGCATGGGGGATACTGTCAAAAGCTTTGACAAAATCTATGAATAATAAGAATAAAGGTGACCTAAATTCTTTTGACTGCTCTATGATAATGCGCAATGTGTTAATATGGTCAATGCAGGAGTGGTTCGGTCGGAAACCAGCTTGGTTCTCTCTCAGAGTTCGCTCTATATAGGAGTTTAACCTTAAATGAACTATAGAGGATATTATCTTGTGAATGGTGTTTAACAAAACAATACCTCTCCAGTTGTCACAGTTAGTGGTATCTCCTTTTTTAGGGTGTTTAATAATGA